CATTACTCTTTTTTTTCCAGATTAGTCTTTTTTTTTGGATTATTCTTTTTTTTTTTTTTCATTATTGTCTTTTTTTTTTTTTTGCTTTTTTTTTTTTTTTTTTTTCTGTTTATTTCTCCTTTTTTTTTTCACCTTACTCTTTTTTTTTGCAGATTAGTCTTTGCCCTGCAGCAGCTCCAGCTCCACACGTGTTAATGCCATCAGGCTGCGCTTCCCAGTGGAAAAAATTCCCTCCTCCAAGGACCAAACTCTGACCAGTTCCTTCCTGCCAGCCCCAGGCAGCAGAGAAAAAGCCCCTTATCCATTCACAACAGCACCACAGGTTTTAGGATGTCATAAATAATGTCATTTAGCTGAAATAATTCATTTTACCAATAGGTTTGAGGGTTTTTTTTTTGCCACTGTAAAAACCATCAGGTGAAATATTCCTTCTGTCTTTTACCACCTACCAACTGCTTGGGGGGTATTAATTAATTAATTAGAGGTTGAATCTGATTCCAACTCGGTTCCTGAAACACATTTCAGTTGCTAATAAAAAAAATAATCATAAAATCATCGAATCATTAAGGAAAAAACCCCGTTATTGAGTCAAACAAAAAATGGCCAAAGGTCCAACTCGTGCTTCCAGACAACCCTTGGAGCCAAGTGCCCCCCAAGCCTTGGGTGTTTAATTATATTGATCAAAAATTGAAATGAAACCCTCGGTGTGGGAGATTCCTATGGATATTCCATGAACCCCTCAGTGTGGGAGAGTCCTGTGGAGACTCCATGAAATCCTCGCTGTGGGAGAGTCTTGTGGATACTCCATGAAACCCTCGGTGTGGGAGAGTCCTGTGGATACTTCATGAAACCCTCGGTGTGGGAGAGTCCTGTGGAGACTCCATGAAACCCTCAGTGTGGGAGAGTCTTGTGGACACTCCATGAAACCCTTGGTGTAGGAGAATCCTGTGGAGACTCCATGAAACCCTCGGTCTTGTGGAGACTCCATGAACTCCTCGGTGTGGGAGATTCCTATGGATATTCCATGAACCCCTCGGTGTGGGAGAGTCTTGGAGACTCCATGAACCCCTCGGTGTGGGAGAGTCTTGGAGACTCCATGAACTCCGTGTGTTCTCTTGCAGACGTGGACGAGTGCGGGGCCATCTCGGGCGCGTGCGACGGCGGCGAGTGCACCAACACCGCGGGCAGCTACGTGTGCACCTGCCCCCGGGGCTTCATGACCAGCCCCGACGGATCCCGCTGCATTGGTGAGACCCCAAACCACGGCCCGGCCCCACCACATCATTGGGATAAGTATTGATTAGGATAATAGGTTGTGTAGAAAGTCATTGTTGCAATTAGAAGACTAGGGGAGGTGGCAACGAGTCAGAAGAATTTTGGAGGGGACAGGAGGGTTATGGGAAGTAGTGTAACTGTAGGGAGGATCATTTTTAGCATTGTAGAAGGTTTAGATGGTGTGTGGTCTGATCCATGAGTTTGTGTGGAAGCTACTAGGATTGCTAGACCAGTGCCTGCTGAGAATGCTCTCCTCAAAGACCAGGATTGGGAGGATTTTGGAAGGAGGGACTGGCACAGAAAAGGCAAAGGTCGTCGTCGCTGCAATGCAAAATGTCAGGTACAGCTGGAAATCCCGGGAATTAATAGAGCAGGGAAAAAAAACCAAAAAAAAAATCAGCTCCAGAATCTTTTCTATCCACAGAACCTGGAGCAAAAATTATACATGTCCTAATTCCAGACAGAGAAACGTTGTTGTCAAGTGTGAGTAAGAAGCAAAGCACGAGTTCCTCTCGTTTGGGAATCTGATGGATTTTTAACGAGGACGAAATTTCTTCTCCTCCCGTTTCCCAGTCCCTGCCATGAGCCCGGAGGGATGAGTGTGATGGATGAGTCATGTGGACTTTTCCTTCGCTTTCCTTGAAAACCAAAGCTAAATAAAATTAGAAAGCCCACGTTTAAAAATAGTCCCAAAGCTTATTTAGCTGCAGTGGACCAGGGAGTGGATCTGAACTCCCCCCCACGTCATTTCCCCTGAGCTCACAGGCGCTGCTGGGCCGTCACATTTTGGGACAGGGCCGTGTTTTTTTTGGCAAAATTCACAGTTGCTCTTGGGTGTCGCTGCCCTGGGATCCAGATTTTGCAAACTCTGCTTCCATGGTTGTGTTTTTGGTGGTTTGTTTTTTTTTTTTGAGAGTTTACGGCGGCGATTTACGTTCCCGGGTGAAAACAAATCGAAGGAATGGCTGGAAAAATTGGGAATTAATAACTAATGTGGCCACTTTTCAAGCATGAACAGCATCAGGAGAGAGAGAGGAGAGATTGTCACATTGGTACCTCTGAGATGTTTAGGTTGGAGGTGACCACAGTGCCTATATATATATAAATATACATATATAAATGTATATATATATAAAAATATATATATATAAAAATATATAAAATATAAAAATATATAATATGTAGAAATATATATAATATAAAAATATATAAAAATAATATAAAAATATATGATATGTAATGTATATAATATAAAAACATATAAATATACATAAGTGTATATAAATATATAAAAATATATAAATATATAAAAATAAAAATAAATATAAATATATATATATATATCTCAAAGGGCACCAGCACTGGCTATGTGGTGCCTTGACACATTCCCATCCTTTTTTAGTGATGTAAACAACTTTTTTTATTGCATTTGAATAATCTCCCGGAGTTTTTACAGCTGAAATAGCAAAGACCCGGGGCTCGAGTTGATCCCCAACCTCATTAACTTCTCTCACTGCCCTGCCCAGTAAAACCCCACCAGCAGCAAGGCTGGAGAAAGCCCGTCATGGTTTGAAATGAGCATTTATTGAAGGCTTCAACCACCTGGGCTTGACACAAAGAGTCCGGTCCCACACGTGTTCATAACAGTTTCATTCATTTCTGCCTGTAAAAGCCAGGCTGGGATTTTTTTTTGAGGTTTTTTTGAGCAGAAGGATCTGCTCCAGCAGCCTGGGAGGATTTTTTTCTTGTTGCTACAATGGGTTTTCTCTTCAAGAACAGCTTCAAAGGATGATTTTCCAAGGAGGGAAAAACGGCCTTTTCAGATGCATTTGCAGACCTGCCCGTGGTGTTCCAGCCCTTGCAAACCAGAACATTGCTTTTTTAGCTCTTTTTCTTTTTTTTTCCCCCTGGTAGTGCAGCAAAGCTCTGAGAGATTTGGGGTTTCTCTGTCCTCGGGCAGCATTGGCAGATTTAAAGCCTCCAGTCCTGGGGAGGGCCAAGCCTTGCAAAGTCTTGGGCTTGGGGAAGGTTTTGAGGGTGTCACTGAGGGCTTCACCTGCCTGGAGAGTTTTGTCCACTTTGGTCGTTGTCCAGGAGAGAAAAGAGCAAGAGGAAAAGGGAAATATGAGGCTTATGGAATCGTGGAATGGCTTGGGCTGGAAGAGACCTTAAAGACCACCCAGTCCCACCCCCCTGCCCTGGGCAGGGACATTTCCACTATCCCAGGTTGCTCCAACCTGGCCTTGGACACTTCCAGGCATGTTTGGCTTTGGTCACTTGAGCTTCTCAATTTCTGCTCGTGATGAGACACAAAGGGAGGGAAATACCCTTAAATTCCTCTTCCTTAATTCCTGGGAAGCGGCACCACAACTTTCCATCCCTCCCTCTCTCCCTGCCCCTGCCCCACCTCCATTCCTTAGGATTTAAAGTGCAGGAATCCCCTGCAGGTGCAGGACAGAGCTCAGACACCTTGTGCAGACCACATGGAATGGGAAGTTAGGGATAAGCCAGGATGGATAACCTTCTATCCTGCTCCTCCTGGGCATCAGGACACGCTCCCCGTGGCCCAGCTGGGCTGCAAACCCTGCGAGACCCCAGTGGAAGGTCCCAAAACTCCATCTCCTGCCTCGTAAACCCTCCCCAGCCTCTCTGACCCAGAGACCTCAGCCAGACCTCTGGCTCCATCTCCCACCTCCGGGCGCTCTCTAATCCCACTTGGAATTGCCCCTCCCGTCTCCCCGCAGCATTTTCTGCTCTCCTGAAGGGTTTTGTGCAAACCTGTTCCCGGAGCAGCCGCGGAGGAGGAGGAGGAGGAGGAGGAGAAGGAAAAGGAGGAGGAGGAGGACAGGGCAGGACAAGCTGTGCTCCCACCTCCAGCGTGTGGGTGGCCCTGGAGGAGGTCACAGAGGGACCGCAGGGACACAGCTCTTCCCACCCACCCCTCTCCCCGCCCGAGGCAGCTGCAGATGAGTTTTTAATTAGCTCTGACCTTCATTTCGGAGCGGGATTGTTGCAAACCGCGGCAGAGCAGCCGAGTTTAATAACCGGGGGCCAGACGGAACAAGGGCTGGAGCGTTTTCCCCGTGTCACACAAACTGCTGTGACCCCCCCCCCCGCCTTGTCACACTTGTCAGCATTTTGTCTGGCCGTGGGGAAGGAGCCTGAGCTCTCCAACCTTTCCCTGTTCCCAGCCTGGCTGTCACCCTGCCTGCCAGCCCTGGGGACATCCAGCAGCACCACACAGTGACAGGAGGAGCTGGGTGGGGATCTCTGATGCCCCAAAGGGTTTGTTTATTCCAAACTACCCCCCTCGGGTCTAGAAAAGTTCGTTTAAGCTCAGCCCTGAGCCCTCACAAGGATAACTCCCATCAGGGGGTCGAGGGGCAGCTTTTCCAAGTGGTCCCAAAATCCTGCCTTGGGTTGGTCAGAGAGGAGCTGCTTTTGGGAGCCAGAGGGGGCTACGGAGAATCATGGAATGGTTTGGGGTGAAAGGGACCTTAAAGCTCAACCAGTCCCACCCTCTGGGCTTTCACTAGCCCAGATTGCTCCAACCTGGCCTTGGACACTTTCCAGGGATGAGGCAGCCACAGCTTCTCTGGGAATTCCATCCCAGCCCCTCCCCACCCTGCCAGGGAGGAATTTCTCCCGAATATCCCACCTAACCCTGCCCTCTGGCAGTGGGAAGCCATTCCCCCCCTTGTCCTGTCCCTCCACTTCTGCTGGATTACTGAAAATTCCCAAAACCAAGTAACCCCAATCTGCTCCCTGTGTGGAAACACAGCCCTGCCACCCTCCAGCACCTGCTGGAACCTGCAGAGACGTGGGCAGTGCTTTTGCTTCCCCAGAGATCAAGGCTTTGGGATGACCCAGGGGGCTTGTACTTCCCATCCTTAGGATTAGGAGCCAATCTAGTGTTGCTTCAACCCCCTCTCCCGAGTTTCCCTCCTCCAGGTGGATAAAGTTTCCGAGGAGGGAGCAGTTCCTGCTGAGGGGTGGGAGGGCTGTGCCTGAGGAAAGAGCTGCTGGTTTAGTCCCCCTGGCTTTCAATGGGGTCAGTGTCTCCTCTGCAGGGCTCTGGGATGGAACCACAGCCCACGGATCCGACAGCTCCAACAGCTCCAGGCAATTCATCTCCATTAGAGCCCAGGCTGATGTCAGCCCAGAGCCACAGCTGACACATCAGAGGAGACTTTTCCCCCTCATTAATCTCCTGGAGATGAGGGAGTGGAAGGTTCCAGGTTTTCCTGGAGCACTTGGTGCCAGGTGGAGCCTGCCAGACGTGTGAAAGACCCTCAGTCTGCTGGGCCTGGTCCAGAAGCCACACACACCCCGCCCCGGTGCCAGGCTCGGTGTCTGTGGCTTTGACCACCATCCAGGGCTCCTTCTCCTCCCAGCTCAGTCCAGCCTGTGGGAATCAGCCCCTGGCCTGAAACAGGAACAGGCTGGGCCGGAGGGATGTGGGATTGGGAACAGCTCCAGTCCCAGGAGATGCTGGGACCGCTGGGTGTGGGGAAACCTGGGATGTGGGACAGTTCTGGGAAGGTCCTGAGGTTTGCAGGATGCACTGGACGGTGGTGGCAGTGCCGAGGGTCACTGGGAGGGTTGGACCTGGTCCCTCAGCCTCAGAGTGGGGTGGGAAATGTCCAACCACCTTGGTCTGGCAGTTCCCAGGGAAAAGCAGGAGCAGGACTGTGCAGCCAAGGCTTCAGGGATGGAGCAGGAATGGCTGGGGAGTGTCCTGAAACAGGAGCAGGAGGCAGTGCTGGGTTGTTTTTATGGCAGAGAAATGGTTTTGGTGGCAGGAGTCAGATAAATACATCACTCTGGGTCCCACAGCCCGAGAGAGGAGAAGATGCTGCTCCTCCCGTGGCCAAATTCGGGGCCTGTTGTGGTGTTATGTTGGCCAGTGGCCAAACCTTGGTCACAAAATGGAATATAAATGAGCAAGACAGACACGAACAGCAGAGGAGGAACCTGAGGGATGGACATCTCAGCCCCAGGATGCAAATTTGTTGAATTTAGCCCAGAATAGTTCATCCATCCAGCAGGGGAAGAGTCAAGGTTCCACCTCCCCTCTCCCAGCTGGTGTGGGCTCAGTGGGGGAACCTGCCCCTGGCATCTCTTATCAGCCCAGAAACTCTAGGGAGAGAGAAGGGAGACACCTGGAAATAATCCAGATTTTGGGGGAAGGTGAGGAAGCCTGGGATGAGATGGGGGATCTCACCTGTTTTCTGCTCTGTAAATCCACCCACAATCAGCTGGGTCAGCTCGTCCTTCCTGCGGGGCAAGGAGGGATTGCCCACGTGCTGCCCGTGCCTGGCTCTTGGTCTGGCTGTTTTTAAGAGCCTAAATGGGAGGCTGGGGCTGTCTGGGAGAACAGGACCGGGACTGGGAGGATGGGAATGTGAGATTTAACCCCGGGAATGAGTCCTGGAGCATCGATGTGCTCCAAAGGGAGGTGCTGGAGAACCTCATGACGTGGGAGGACAAGGCAGAATGAGGGGCTGGGTTGGGATACGGGGGAGCCAGAAGAGAAAGAGCCCTCAGAAGGCCACCAGGGTGCTGTGCTGGCACATGGTGACGGTGTCTCCTCCTCCTGCTCTCCCTCTCCCCTCAGACCAGCGCATCGGGACGTGTTTCTCGGCGCTCATCGGGGGCCGCTGTGCCGGGGACCTGCCGGGCCAGTACACCAGGATGCAGTGCTGCTGTGACTCAGGGCGCTGCTGGGCCATCGGCCAGACCCCCGAGATGTGCCCTGTGAGGGGCTCTGGTGAGTGCCACCCACAGCTCTGCCGCTGCCCGGGCAGCTCCGGCCTGTGCCAACCCCGGTGTGATGTGGGGAATCCTGGAATGGAGGGAGGGTTGGGTGGGGTATTATGGAACAGCAATATCCATTATTATTGTTTCTTCCTCCCCAGAGGGTGGTGGGCACTGAACAGGCTCCCCATGGAATGGTTATTCCCCAAGGCTGCCAGAGCTCCAGGAGGGTTTGGATGATCCTCTGAGGGATTGTTGGGGTGTCCTGATGATCCCTGGGGGTCCCTTCCCGCTCAGGATCATCCAGGATTCTACAGAAATCCTGCTGCATTGTTGCTGTGGATGTTTCTGTGTTTGTAGGGGACAAATGAAGCCCCAACTTCTTAAATAAAGAGGGGCAGGGGGTGGAGAAGAATGAAGGAAAACCCTGGGGAACATGTCCAGAACTCTTGGACAACCCTCTGAGGGACAGGGTGGGATTGCTGGGGTGTCCTGGGCAGGGCCAGGGGTTGGACTGGATGATCCTTGTAGTCCCTTCCAACTCAGCATATTCTGTGATTGGAAAAGCCCTCCAGGATCATCAGGTCCAACCGTCCCCCAGCACTGCCAAGGCCACCACTAACCCCTGTCCTCAATGTCACCTCCACACATCTGTTAAATCCCTCCAGGAGTGTGAACTCCACCACTGCCCTGTGCCAGTGCCTGCCCACCCCTTCCATGAAGAAATTTCCCCTGATCTCCAACCTAAACCTCCCCTGGCACAGCTTGAGGCTGTTTCCTCTCGTCCTATCACTTGTTACCTGGGAGAAAATCCCATCCATGTAACACCCAGGGAAGGTCACCTGGGGATGCTGGTTCTCCTGCCTGGGTCTCAGCTGAAGCAGAGCCAGATGAGCCGAGCCAAGGCAGGAATTCATCCCTTTCCTCCCACTCCTTCAGCTCTCCTTGGCTCCCACCATAACTGACCCTCGGGGTGAGCCCAGGCAGCAGGAGGCCTGGAGGAGTCCCAGAGGTGTAGATCCATCTCTCTGCATCTGGAGGAGGCCCAGAGATGTAGATACATCACTCTGCATCTCTTTTTTCACCCCTAACTCCGAGCAGGGCAGAGCTCCCAGTGCCTGGCACCTCCTGAGTGTCCCGTCCTTCCCGGCGGGAAGGGAGCCTGTGGTGCCAACCGTGCCAAGGTGCCCCAAAAACCTGCTGCCAGACACCCTGGGGAGCTGTGTGTCCTCACCTGCTGTGGGATGAAGGGTGTTCAAGCCCTCCCCACCCCGTGTGCCCCGTTCCCACCAGCACCCACCCACTCAGCTCCCCACGGATCCGTCCCCATCCCGCTGTTCCCTGCGGGGGGATTCAGGCCCGGAGAAGCCCTGAGGCAGCTGTTTTGTTTCAGACGAGTACCGCAGGCTCTGCATCGAGGGACTCCCGGTCGTGCCAGGCTTCCCTGGGAACTTTCCAGGGATCCCTGGATTCGGGCCCAACGGCGTCGGGCCGGGACTCAACGGGCCCGGAGGCATCGGCCCAAACGGGGCGAACGGACAAGGCGGGATCCCGGGGCTGCCTGGAATGGGCCCAGGAAGCTCGAGCATTGGTAATTAAACTCCTTTCTCCTCGTGCTGACCCCTCTTCAGGCTGCCTGGCTGGGAGCAGAGCGTGTTCCTGCCTGGCTGGAATGCTGGAATGCTGCTCCCGGCACGCCCGCGTTCTTCGACAGCTCCACGGTGTGTGTCCCGACCCCGGGGGTGGGGGAGTGGTGGGATGTGACAGGAACACTGTGCAGGACACTGAGCCCACAAACACATCAAACAGTGTCTGCTGGCACGGCAACACAGCCGGGGTCGGCTCCAGTTTGGAATCTCTCCCCAATCACTCAACAGGAACGAAGCCTTTCAAACAATTAGCGAAGGGGAACAAAGCTTTCACGGCACCACCTTGGACCCCCCTGTGCTGTGCACCCCAGTGCAGCTCCTTGCTGAGGGCTGAAGCCTGTGGGAACGTGCTGGGTGGCCCCAAAGATTGATCCCCACCTTGCTTCGGAGGGAGTTGGAATTGATTCCCATCTGATCCCATTCAGGTGGAAGTGATTCCCATCTGATTTCAGAGGGGCTGGGATTGATTCCCATCTGATTTCAGAGGGGCCAGAATGGATTCCCACCTTATCTCAGAGAGGCTGAGCCCCCCTCGTGCCTGGTGATGTTTTTGTCAAGACATATCCCAGAGATTTTCCAAGGCTTTTGGCCCTGGGATGAGCTCAGCTGGTCCCAGCAGGGTGCTGATAACACCAGGCTGCTGGGTTTGATCTCTGTATGGGCCAGTCACTCAAGAGCTGGACTTGATGGTCTTTGTGGGTCCCTTCCAGCTCAGAACAGTGGGGAGGGGGCACAGCAGCCCCTTGCAGACCCTTACTGGGTCTGGGGGTCCTGCTCAGGGCCCAGGAGCATCTCGGGGCTGTCACGGTTCCGATGTCCCCACCCTGAGCCCTGGGGACAACCGAGGGCTCCGGAACCTTCTCCCTGATGTTTTTTCTGTGCTTCCCAGGAACTGCCACATTGAACCAGACCATTGACATCTGCAAGCACTTCACCAACCTGTGCCTGAACGGGCGCTGCATCCCCACCCCGTCCAGCTACCGCTGCGAGTGCAACATGGGCTACAAGCAGGACGTGCGGGGGGAGTGCATTGGTGAGTGGCCTCTGCTCCAGATGGGCCCTGGGCCTGCTCCTAAAGCACCTCCAGCTGCTGCACCAACGCCAGGGAGGGTTGGGATGGAAACCAGGAATGAGGGCTGGTGTCCCCAGCACTGTTAAACACCTTCCTCAGTGACACAGACTCTGGGATTGAGGGTCCTCGTGCAGGTGACACCACGTCGAGGGGGATCCTTGTTGGGGTGGTGCCACCTGAGGGACCTTGCTGTCAGCACAAGGGGCTCAGCACCTCCCCAGCCCTTCTTGTGCCTGTCCTGGGAGCTGGTTGTGCCTCCTGGACGCTCAGGGTTTGGTGTTTTGTCCTGGGAGCTGGTTGTGCCTCCTGGACGCTCAGGGTTTGGTGTTTTCCCCTGGCAGATGTGGACGAGTGCTCCAGCAGCCCCTGCGTGCACGGCGACTGCGTCAACACCCCGGGCTCCTACCACTGCAAGTGCCACGAGGGCTTCCAGAGCACCCCCACCAAGCAGGCCTGCATTGGTAAGGGTTGTCCCTCTCCTTCGGATGAGCTTCAGGGGGGGTCAGAGCCCTGGGAACCCAAGGGGAATGGTTCTAAAGGGGAAACAGGGTGAGGAGCCCCCAAACACCAACCAACCTCCGGCCACGTGCGTGTGGTGGGATCTGTCTTGGAGAAGTTCCCTCTGCCTTCATCCGCCTTAAAATTGCTTGGTGGCAATCAAGGAAGCCACAGAGTCCTTTCCAAGAGCAGAACTCTGTTTAAGGGATTTTATTTGGCAGAAGATGGGGTTTTGAGGCGAATCTGTATCGGCGTAGGATGCCCAGCAAGGTTGTTCTCTCAGGGCCTTGCAGCACCAAGATGAGGGACTGCTGAAAGAGAATCGTGGCAAGAAAACATTCCACCACGTGAAACAAGAAGCAAAGGCAGATTTTTCTGTTGAATTCTTAATTTTTCTCTCTTTCCAACCAAATGGTTTCCAAAGGACCCCTCAGTTTGCAGTGTGAAAAGCTTTCCTAATTTCCCAACTAGATGTTTTTAAGATAACTTTTTCTTGAGTCTGAGAGCACTTGGCTGGCTTTCTCATGGAGATAATTAAACTGGAGATTATTAAACTGGAGATTATTAAGCTGCTGCTACCTTGCTGGTGTCCCTCTCCTGGCAGATATCGACGAGTGCATCATGAACGGGGTGATGTGCAGGAACGGCCGCTGCGTCAACACCGACGGCAGCTTCCAGTGCATCTGCAACGCCGGCTTTGAGATCACCCCTGACGGCAAGAACTGTGTTGGTGAGGCTCCTGGTGGCCCCTGGGGAGGTTGGGGCTGAGCTGGGATTGTGTTCTCCCTTGGGATTGAGGGTTGGTTTAATCAAATCTCCTTAAATCCCGATCCTACCCCTGCGCTCCCTTCAGCTCTAGGATGTCTTAAAATGAGAGGGCTCAAGTGGGAAGGGGTTTTTATAAGGCTGTGAGTGCTCCTGTAGGTTTTGGGGTCCAGGAGCATTAGCAGGGCTGGGTTTGGAGGCAGGACATGCTCCAGCAGCCGGTGTCTGAGTCTTTCACTGGCTGAGAGTACTGAGAGTGCAGCAGGACTTCTTCTTCCCACCAGGAAAGGTGGGAAAGAAAGTTCCCAGCAGGACTTCTCCTTCTTCCCACCAGGAGAAGCAGTGGGAAGGTGCCTCTACCCATGGCAGGGGGTTGGAGTAGATGCTCTTTAAGCTCCCTTCCATCCCAAACCATCCCTCTTCCTCGAGGATCAGCACCCACTGCCACAAGAGTTTGAGATGGGACTCAGAGGGTTTTTGAGCACAGGAGGGTCTTGCTGCTGCTCTCAGGCTCAGCCCAGGTGTTTGTCCTCCCCAGACCACGACGAGTGTGCCACCACCAACATGTGCCTCAACGGGATGTGCATCAACGAGGACGGAAGCTTCAAGTGCATCTGCAAGCCCGGATTTGTTCTGGCTCCCAACGGGCGCTACTGTGTCGGTGTGTGGATCCCTGAGCTTGTTCCCTGCCCATTCCCATTCCCTGGGATTGCTGGTGTGTCTCAGAGCACGGGGAGCTGAGAACAACCAAGGCTGTTGCCCGGCAGCTCCTGCTTTGCCACCAGGAATCGCCCCTTGCCCCCAGAACGGGCATGAGGGAAAATGTTGATGTGTCCTTCACCCCTCTTCACATGTGCTTCACCCCCTCCTCATGCCCCTCATCCCTCTCCATGTGTCCCTCCCTCACCCCTCTCTACACATCCTTC